CGCCCCTTTTCGTTCTACCGCCCCCCTGAAAAATGAAATCACCCCCTGGGGGGCATTATCGCCCACGTTAAGAACCACTGTATTATATGACCACTTGTGCAACCAAGATACACCCTGGCCAACTGTTGATTAGCTGCAACTAGGTTCAACCAGTTACACAAACTGCACACAAACACAAATAAGTTTCCAGTCAATGTGCTGTGGTCTTACATGCACTTTATGCTAAAATATTTCCCTCTAGCCCCAAATCTCTGCAGACATGTTTGTATCAGAGCTCCTTTAAAGAGTTGTTCTTAAAAGATAATAGGATTCATATCAATGTAAGAAAACCCACACTGGATGGCCTAATCTAATCCAGCCTTTTGCTTCCAAGGGGACAACCAGATGCCCAAGGGAAGAGGACATCAGCAAAACAGTCCCTTTCTGTTTACGTTCACGGCAATCAAACCCCCTTCCCCACGCCTTCTTTAGAAATACAAACCAAGACAACCTGGCAGATATACCAGGGTATATTTTCAGCCCAAGTGAGGTGACAGAGGGTTAGAGAGACACAACAGACCCGTGTATCTCACAAATGGGCACCCAAAGTCATGTCCTAGAACTCTTTGCAACACAAGTGTGGTGGTAGTGCTGGCAAATGTACAGGGCTCCTTGGCAGATAAATCTGTTGGGAGTTTTGTTTGCAAGCTTTCATGCTGTCTGTACAGTAGTTTGTGTGACTGGGAGGGACTTTTTTGGGCTGAGCTGACTGTATATCTATCTAGCACTAACCAATCATATCTTCCAGCTTTGAATTCAAAGAGAGCCCCACCTCTTTGCTGAGGCCTCTTTCCCTCTCTTTCATCTGCTGGAGGCTGCAGTTTGTTTCCTGTTGATCTGCTCAGTTAGTTGCAAAGTATATGTGCAGTAAAGAAAGCAGCATACACAAGTCTGTAATTTCAAGCAACTGTAAGCAAAGAAATTGTTTTATTCTTCTACAGATATCTCAGAGTGAGTCATTGAGATTTTAAGTGCCAGATAATGAGAAAAAGGTGGATTATATGAAGAAATTAAAGCTATTCTTCTCTATGGGTCTCTGTATTTCTCCTGTGCAGCAAAAAGGGGATTCAAAATTCTGCAACAAAATTAACATGGAACGGATTCCTGCAAACTTACCTGCTTCTTTGAGAGCATTTCTCATTTCGTGGGCATCTATGGTCCCAGAATAGTCAGTGTCCACTTTCTTATAGATTTCCTAGGCCAAAGAAATGGGAGACACTATTGCCTGCTATAACAAGCAGATTTTGGAAGATCTGGCTGGTTAGCTGACTGGCCAGGATGTGCAATTGCTGCTTCTGCCAGGCAAGCAAGCTTGCTCTTTCAGAAAGTGTAAATGGCCAAAAAGGGCAAGGGGTGGTAGATTTCAATTAACTAATGGCAAGCTATGTGCCCTGGGAAATAGTCCCCACTGGGCTAGCAACATGCTCACCCACAGGGCCAACAGGCCCTTGAGGAATACCCCTTCCCTCTAGCAAAGGCTGCAAACTTGATTGAGATTAATATTTCAAAAGGAACAACAGACAGTTCTCAGTGCCAAATGGTTTCTTATCCAGCTCTAGCTGTGTCATTAGAAGTTAGGCTGGCCTGAAACTCAGTGGGAAGTTCTGCCATACTTGTTCTTTCATACTCACCCTCCACTGTAAAAATAAATCAAATGTTGAACACTGAAGGCCAGATAAGAAATTGATTATAAACCAGAGGCCTAATCTGTTCATTTCAGTTGCATGACATTAACATAATTTTCATGTCATTTTCATGCACGTGCCAGAGGCTCGCAATATAGCCTATTCCTTCCTCCTTCAAAGTCTTGGTCTTGCTAAACAACACTCTGAAAGTTCGTTTGTCAGCTTGCTGATCCCACCCATAACAACTGGGCTCAGTTACAGATGGCTTCAGCATTTAATTAGATTCATTTGCCTCAAATATGAATGAATACAACTGGGCTCAGTTACAGATGGCTTCAGATGAATGAAAGTCAGGCTTTGAAACATGCAAACTACAGAAGGCAAGTGAACTCCGTAATGTGTGTTTTTAACATAGTTTGACATGTAGCATTCATTTACATGCTTAGTTCACAGTGCTAGTTCTGCTTTGTGCTTCTGAGACAGTGCTGCAATCTGGACTAAATACAAATCCTCTGTGTTGGTTTGGTGAGGTTGATCTATAAACGTCTTGCTTGGTGTCAGAGGACTTCTAAACTTTGAATAATCAGATGGTTCTTTTATCCTTTTTTTACTTGCTCACTAACTGACTGAATAGCTGAGTTATCTTGGGAGTTTGATTGCATGCTGCACTTCCAAAGAGAACAGTCAACCGTGTAACCTTGGGCAAGCTGCATAGTTCCAAAGTGGTACTAGAAGAAGGGCATGATAAACTGTATCTAAATATGCTATACCTAGAAAATCCTGAAAAGGGTCACCATAACTCAAAATTGACTTGGTGACACATCATTGGCCCCCAAACCCACAACAATGTACAATGTGAATATAAACCTGAAGCCAAATATGGCATTCCATATATGTGAGGGATTGCAATCCACGAAAGTTCACATTGAAATACATCTGTTAGTCCTTCAGGTGCATTAATACTTCTTCTCATTTTCTTTTATTTTGTCCTCTATCCCTATGACCTTTCTCCACCCAAATGCCAGAATTCTGCCTAACAGAATACAGCTTCTATTTGAACGTGATGCATAGTAAACTCTGCCTATCATTAAAACAAAGCTTAAGTAGAAAGAAGGCCTCTAAAAATATGCACAGCTATCTATCAGGTGCAAAACAATTCTGAACCCTAGCTTTGGAAAATACACCATCTATACCTCAAAGCTACGCAAACAATCTTTCTGGATGATGAGGCCCACTTTCTCATACATTCAGTTTGTCAAAGGGAAGGTTGTGCTTTGAAAGATTTTTACCAGGTATTTCTGAATCTTCATCCAAAGTATCTTGAATTGTACAAGTCCCAAGGTACCAGTTCCATCGTTCTGTAGTACGTTAAGGTCTAATTCAAGATTGAAAAGAACTTCTTTTTTCTTAGCCAGCTTTTGGCCTAGATAAAAATTAATGACTCATTAAATGTACACTGTGCCACTTTACGTGATGCATGGATCTGTATTTCCAACACACCCAGGGGAAACACACCTGCTGTTTTCAGTTTGCTTAGCTAGGAATGTACTAAAGATGCCTGAACTCTCTTTTCCAGCATGATTTATTAAAGTGTTGTAAAACCACATAGATCATGCTCACCCACTGGACTATAAGAAAACAACCATCTGCTTTAAATTGTTTTGTAAAAGAAAAAAAAATCAAATCTTGGTGAAGATAATTTTTGGGCTCCTTGAATCCCATTATTTATTAATTATACATTTTTCTCCTATTCTTCCTTTTAAAAGTTCACAAATGATTCACAAACAGCCCTCACTGGTTTCCCAGGCAGGTACTTACTATAAGCAAGTCTACACTTCTTATGTTTCAATAACGCCACATCACCAAGCACTCCCAGAACATTTACTCCAGACTCTATTGTTGGACTGTAATAAATTATAAGGCTCTGAGTGTGCAAATACTTACTTGTGAATAAGACCCACTGAGCAGTGGCTTAGCGTGGTTTACCAGCACTCGGGGAAAGTATTGCACCCCCTAGTCCAGTGATGGTGAACCTTTTTGAGCCCGAGTGCCCAAACTGCAACACAAAACGGACTTACAGTGGTGCCTCGCTTAGTGATTGCTCCGCATAGCGAAGAAATCGCTTAGCAACGGGGTTAAGCGATTGCAAAAGCGATCGCTTAGCGATGGTCCCTATGGGGAAAATTCGCTTTGCGATGATTGTGGGGAAGCGATCATTGCAAAGCCCCCATTTTTGGCCAGCTGATCGGTGGTTTCAAAATGGCTGTCGGAAAAGCAAAATGGCCACCCGCTGTGTTGCCTCGCTTTAGAGGCACCGAAAATTGCCACCCCTATGGAGGATTTTCGCTTAAGGTTAGTTTTTAAGCCCATAGGAACACATTAATGGCCGGCCTCCTTCCATATGAACCTACCTGGCAGTTAAGATCTAGCCAGGCGGCCCTTTTGAAAGAGCCGTCCCTTAAGGAGATAAGAGGGATGGCTTGTAGAGAAAGGGCCTTTTCAGCAGCTCCTCCCAGGCTATGGAATGCCCTCCCGACTGAGATTAGTCTGGCGCCAACGCTGATGACATTTCGGCGCCAGGTCAAGACCTTCCTGTTCCAAAAGGCTTTTAACTGAAATAATATCAGCTGTGGGTCTCATTGCAATTTTTAGAGTATATATTTTTAATTGCATTTTAATTATTTTGCCCTTTTATTTTGCCTTTTTATTGTATTTTAAATGTTGTAAGCCACCCAGAGATCTTCGGGTAGTGTGGGTGGCATATAAGTTAAATAAATAAATAAATAAATAAATAAATAAATAAAGACAGACAGACAGACAGACAGACAGACAGACAGACAGACCGGTACATACATACATACATACATACATACATACATACATACATACATACATACATACATACATACATACATACATACATACATACACATTGCAATTAAACCTGAATACTGAGTTTTTAGTTTAGAAAAAAACAACTGCCCCTGCAGTGCAATGTTTAAATGCTTGTTTTTCACCTCTCCAGGGGCGGTATTAACAGGGAAATATTTACCAGTCCTCCAATCCCCCATTGCGTTAGACCGGTAATGGTCGCCATTGCATCCCTCCGCTGGACCACTGCACCAGCAGAGGGGAGTGCCAAAATCTGGGATCAGAGGATGGGTAAGTATTTCTCAATGGCAACTTATGGCTCGCACGCCCACAGAGAGGGCTCTGCCTGCCAGCTGTGGCACACGTGCCATAGGTTTGTCATCACTGCCTAGTCTGTGGACCTGCTTCCCCTCCTCCCTCCTGCATTCCTAATAGAAGTGCCCCCCAAGGCACCATCCTCCTCCTCCATCATCATCCCTCCATCCCCCATCTTCTCCCCATCTCTTCCTCATCTACCTCGCACTGGGCTCAGCTATTGTGTGGAGGGTGACGCTGCAGCCTATGCTGCCACAGCCACCTTCTGCAGTGCCCACACGGCTGAGCTCTGCTTCCGCTACCAGTCCAGCCATGCTC